CGGTGCGCCCCACGGGTAGCCCAGAGTCCGGGCCCCGCCCCCGGCGCTGGCTGCCGGCCACTGTCCGGCAGCGGAATCCAAACGAGACGTTTTTTCCTCTGGGCGTAGTTGACCTGCTAAGCTGTCAGTGACTCAGACTGGCCGGGTCCTTGGAACAGGGCCGCTCCGCTCGTCGGCTGCTGCCCCGGCGGGTCACTACCCTCCTGGGAAGTAAAGGCGCTCACTGCGAGCGCCGCTGCCGGCAGCCCCAGGATTCGGCCCCGCGGCCCGGCCGAGACTCCCTCCCTCCCTCGTGTCTGACCTAGTGGTTTGCAAAGTTCGGTATTGAGTTCAGAGTTTGCCAATTATTTGAGCTGAGGGACAGTGGGTTTAAAAGTTCATGTTATAGGGACAGGGGTGCCCCCAGTGTGGGCAGAATTCTTGACGGGTTGCATCCGTTTGCCTCTATTTGGCTAAGTTACACTTGTCACACGTCTGGCACTTATTACCTGTATTTCACCGACACGCTGACCGCGAGTGCGACGAGCCGCCCTCCAAGAACAGCTTCTCCCTTCCTCCCGGCATGGCCTGACTTTTCTTTCCCTTCTAACCGAGCCGCCCCCGAGCCGCGGGCCGAGTCCGGGAGGGCCAGCACCGCTGGGGGTGGCCGGGGGCTAAGTGTCTCGGTACCTTTCCAAGGGTCCTCTTCAGCGGCATTACAAAAGTTTGTCTAAATTCAAGACACAGGAGAAGGATGCTCTCCTTGCAACTCGACAAGGGCCCTCGGCGGGAGCAGCAGCAGTGTATGTCGCTTTGGCGAGCGTGACTTTCAGATCGCCGCAGGAAATGGACACCCTGACGGCTGTTTCTAGGAAAGCTAAGCCGCAGCCTGTTTTCAACTCACGGCACTGATGGGCAGGCGTATTCTTCACCCTGTGGGTGATAAACTGCAGCTAAGATTAGGTTTCTAAGGCGCTTTTTTTTTTTTTGGTCTGAAACAGACTCTCAGTCTATTGCCCTGGGGTTGAGTGACATGGTATCATGATAGCTCACAGCAACCTCAAACTCTTGGGCTCAAGTGATGCTTCTGCCTCAGCCTCCCAAGTAGCTGGGACTACAGGCACCAGCCACAACGCCTGGCTAGGCTGGTCTGAAACTCCTGAATTCAAGCAATCCAGAGTGCTAGGATTATAGGCCTTAGCCACCGCCCCGCCTCTAAGGCGCTTTAAAAGGGAATTTCGCAAGAAGAGTATTTTTCCCCAACTAGAGAGAGCCCTGACACTTAAAGCCAGAGGAGAAAGTACTGAGGATCCCGTTCTTCCCTTCACCCTCATCGCCCTCACAGCACAAAACCTTGTTATACACAGAAGTCACTCCACTAATTATGGAAATACCCAAATAACAATATGTAAAATCTGCCCCAATTCAATGAATTCTCCTCGGAAAACATATCTAAGAGGAGATGTGAACCATTAAAATTACTACTAACTTATACTATTTTTCAGCGTCTCTAAGATGCCACTGATTTTATGATTCATCATTTTAACTTAGGTAGCCCAAGAAAAAATATGCTACCAACTAAACTGTCATACCAATAATTGTGTGAAACACTCCAATTTCAGGGTTGTTTAAACAGGAAAATGTATCTTAGAGTCAATGAAATAAAATGTAAATTAGAAAAGTAATACACGTGGCAGGAATTTCTGACAGTTCAAAGATGTAAAATGAAAAGTAAACCATCTCCCTCCCTCCTCTCACCCAGGTAGCCACTGTTAAGTTTCTGGTCATTATCAAGAAGTTGTATCCAGGGTGGTGCCTGTGGCTCAAAGGAGTAGGGTGCTGGCTCCATATACTGGAGGTGGTGGGTTCAATCCTCGCTTTGGCCAAAAACTGCAAAAAGATGTTGTATCCACATACAAATATATGTGTGTGTGCATGTCCTTAAACTAAGAATGTAGTAATGCTATGATCACACTTTAGAATGTATCTATTTTATTGGTGGAAAATGTCTTTAACCACTTTAAAAAAAACAAAATTTAAAACGATGATTTGGGGCCTTAGTTATTAGAGAAGAATGCACCTATAGTGATGAAAACAATAAAATACTTACGTTCTTTGTGCATATTAATTAACATATTTCCTCTAGGAATATTTCTGTAATTTGCATTTTTCTAGACTTGTTTGATCCATGTATATATAATTCTTTTAAAAGTTTATAGTGTTCCCGTGAATGTATATAATACATTTTATTCATCTAAAACTATTTTATGTGCAGTTTGGTCCCCATTTATATTCCTAATATAGTTTATTTTTGCTTTCTTTTCTCTACTACTCTGGCCACAGGCTGGAAATGACTATTTCCCAAATGTCCATCTTTTTGCTTTTATTTTTGATATGATCAATTTTCACATTTTAATTCATTCTTTCTACTTTCTTTTTCTTTCATTTTATCTTAAATTTCACATTAATATGAGGGCATAAATGATTAGATTATAGTGTTTGTTTTTTTCTTTTTTGAGACAGAGTCTTATTATATCACCCTCAGTAGAGTGCTGTCGTGTCACAGCTCACAGCAGTCTCAAACTCTTGGACCTCAGCCTCCCAAGTAGCTGGGATTACGTGCGCCTGCCAGAATGCCCAGCCATTTTTTGGTTGTAGTTGTCATTGTTGTTTGGCAGGCTCTGGCTGGGTTGGAACCTGCCAGCTCCAGTGTATGTGCCTGGCTCCCTAGCTGCTGAGCTACAGGTGCTGAGTCAGTATTTGTATTTCTAAGGTAAAGTTCAAGTTGTAGTTGAGCCCCTCATCCAAGGGAAATGCTATATATATCCTTATGCTGTGCATATTAAGTGAGAAGTCACCAATCCCCCTCTGTCTTTCTCTTCCCCCACAATTGATTTTTTTTGGGCCAGGGCTAGGTTTGAACCTGCCACTTCCAGTATATGGGACCAGCGTCCTATTCACTGAGCCACAGGCACCGCCCCTTGCCCCTCAGTTGAATATACCATGTTTTTCTCTCATGTGTGTAGCTGTTTTTCTATAGGTTTCATATCAGCATTGAGGACGTTGAATACTTGCTTTTCTGTTGTTGAGATACTTTGCTGAGAAGAATGTCCTTCAACTTCTTGAAGGCAAATTGTAAAGTCTTGGGTTTATTCTTTAGTCTTCCAACTTTTTTATGTTTTTGATTTTTTTTATTTATTATTTTTTACCTTTTGAGACGGAGTCTCAGGCTTTCACCTTGGATAGAATGCCATGGTGTCATAGCTCACAGCAACCTCAAACTCTTGGGTTTAAGTGATTCTCTTGCCTCAGCCTCAGAGTGGCTGAGACTACAGGTGCCTGCCACAACATCTGGCTATTTTTTTTGTTGCATTGGTCATTGTTGTTTTAGCTGGCCTGGGCTGGGTTTGAACCCACTGCCCTTGGTACATGTGGCCAGCGCCCTGCCAACTGAGCTACGTGCGCTGCTCCCAACTTTTTGAACTGATTGCTTAGCTAGTTAATTTCCATCACTTCTTCAGAGGAGCACTTTAATTACATTTTGCAAGCTTTGATATGTACGTACTTCATATATACAATTCAGGTCTAAATATTTTGTTGATTCAATTCAATTTTAACCCCTAAATTATTGGAAGTTTTAACTTTTGGAGATTGACTTCCAATTTTGTTTTATGATCTGTTGGTGGTGTTTCTTCTCAGATCTTACAAAGTTTTTATATTTGTGTGCTCTTTTAGAGATTATTGAAAATGTCACCAATCCCTCTACTTTCTATTTCCCACCCATGCCAAAACTCCTTTGCCGGGTTCAGAGCAAACATGCCTAGTTTTCACAGCAGAGAAACCAGAGATGATAAATGTTTTGTTCCTAACCAGAGTTAGGCAGATTTCCCGAGGAAATCTCAACTTTGCAGCACCACTCAATGTTAGTTCCTGGTTTTCATTTTCTCTGCTTTAACTTGACTGGCACCCAACAGTATGAATCATTAGCCATCTTCCCATATGCTTATGGTATTTAGTAGCTTTTTCTTCTTTTTTTATTGTTGAGGATTCATTGAGGGTCCAAGAAACCAGGTTACATTGATTGCATTTGTTAGTTAAGGTCCCTCTTACAGTTGTGTCTTGCCAACAAGACCCCATCCCCTCCCTCCTTCCTTCTCTCTCCTCTTCCTTTCCCCCACCCCTCCCTCCTTCTTTCTCTCTCTGCTCTCCCCTTCCCCCACCCCCACAGTGTCGTTAATTGTCATTAATTGTCCTCATATCAAAATTGAGTACATAGGATTCATGCTTCTCCATTCTTGTGATGCTTTACTAAGAATAATGTGTTCCACTTTCATCCATGTTAATACAAAGGCTGTAAAGTCTCCATTTTTTAAAATAGCTGAATAGTATTCCATGGTGTACATATACCACAGCTTGTTGATACATTCCTGGGTTGGTGGGCATTTAGGCTGCTTCCACATTTTGGTGATTGTAAATTGAGCTGCAATAAACAGTCTAGTACAAGTGTCCTTATGATAAAAGGATTTTTTTTTCCTTCTGGGTAGATGCCTAGTAATGGGAGGTCTAGCTTGAGTTCTTTGAGGGTTCTCCATACTTCCTTCCAAAAAGGTTGTATTAGTTTGCAGTCCCACCAGCAGTGTAAAACTGTTCCCTTCTCTCCACATCCATGCCAGCATTTGCAGTTTTGAGATTTTGTGATGTGGGCCATTCTCACTGGGGTTAGATGGTATCTCAGGGTGGTTTTGATTTGCACTT